AAGGCTCGCCCAATAAAACGGCTAGTAACCATGTTCAATAGAATGACACTTTGGGATTTAATTAAGCTGAAAGTATTTTCAGAGGATCTTTAAGGATTTCTTTTCTTATTTACAAATATGTTATAATTTATCTCTTTTTCTATAAACCAGGGAATTAAATTTTTTATCTTTTGAATTAAATCATTTCAGATTCTGAAAAGTATTTTCAGAGGATCTTTGAGGATTTCCTTTCTTATTTAAAAATATCTTATAATTTATCTCTTTTTGTATAACCCTGTGAATTAAATTTTTTATCTTTTGAAATAAATCATATCATATATATATATATATATATATATATATATATATATATATATATATATATATATATATATATATATATCAGATTGTTACTGCCAAATAATATTATTATCAATGTCACTACCATATCTTAGTCGTTGATTTTCACCAATCAATGGCTATTATTTTCACAAATCAAACTTGTTAATTAATTATTAATTCGCAATAAATGATGACCGTTAATTGATGGAAATCAAGGGTTAAGATATGGTACTGACATTGGTAATAATATTATTTGATAGTAATAATATCGTAATAATTGAATTAAAATATGGATAAACTTTTTCCTTTTCGTTAATAAACGTTTCTGTTTAAAATCAAAGAAACAGTCGAATTCATTTGAGGTGCAAGTGTTTCTGATTTGGGTAAGGGGAATTTATGATATGTTTTAGGCGTGAATGCAATTAAATTCTAATTTATTTTAGGAAAAAGTTTAAGATTCTCACGATTTGTTTCAAAATTATTTAATTCTTCCTCGAGATTGTACTATGATCGAGTTATCTCTTGTCTTGAGAAGATTAGTCCTTGACTTTCGGTTGGGGATATCCTTTGAACAATTTCCAAAAAATAAAAATTTATTTAATTCCTTATATTTTATTTTTTCTATAATCTATTTCAGTTATGATTTTTTCTATTTAGGTCCATCTTTAAATACTAGGTTAATTTATCTATTCTGCCCTAATGAACAAGTAAAAACGTATTCAATAGTTTTTACTATGGAGCTGGCATTTGTTATGGAGTTGGTATAGTCCTCGCAGGACCAAAGTTCTGATATGGAAGATCTTGCATAGTAGGTTATTTACTATGGAGAGCATTGTCCGTTGGGGAGGAGGTTCTGATAGGTGTCCAATATGCAAAATTGACAGCGAAACAATCCTTCATGCATTGAGGGATTGTCTTGAGGTGAAAAATCTATGGGATAAATTGATTTCCTCCACATTTGGGACTGTTTTCTTTGAGGTTGATATGAAGTATTGCCTAGAGATTAATACAAAAGGAATTATGGGGTTAAACTTGCCTTGTAATTGGTTATCAATTTTTTTTTTATCAGTGTGGAAGATTTGGAGCTGGCATAATGAGGTTCGGCATGGGCTACTATCTCGGATTTATCTATAAGGGAACACATAATTAGCAATCTGGTGAGGTAGGTAGGTCAAGCTTTCAATTCTCCTAACAGTCATCGAGTGGGCAAGAGGACTATGGTAGTCAACATTGCGTGGCAGTTTCCGGAAGCTGACAGTGATGGGGTTGCACGTGGAAATCCACTTCTAGCAGCTTGTGGAGGCATTATTCGAAATTCATAAAAGGCTTCGCGTTTAACCTAGGTTCTTGATCAGCTTTCAAAATGGAATTGTGGGGAATCCTTCGTGGATTGGAGCTTGCCTGGAGTGAAGGTTTTCGTCAAATTGAGATTGAAAGTGATTCAAAGAGTTCTATCTTTGTGCTCACCAAGGATAGTGCAGCAGTCCGTGAGGGTCATCTGATCACTTGGATACAGACATGGTTACAAAAAAATTGGAGGGTTAAATTTAGCCATGCTTATAGAGAGGTCAACACGTGCACAGACTAAATGGCTAATTATATCTGTGATGCTAAAGAGGGAGTCCATAAAATTTTATGTGGGGATCCTTCTCCTAGTATTTATTTGTTGTATTTAACTGATCTCTCTTCTATTGGGAGAGATACATACTTTGGTAATAGCTTAGTTTTTTTGTTTGTTTTGTTTCGGGCTTTAGTCCTTTCAATTACAAAAAAAAAAAAAAAAAAGCAAAAATTAACAAAAAGCAAGAACTTGAAGTGATGGACATGCAATAGGAAACCGAACAAGCTAATAAGGTAGATGATCAATATAAATAAAAGATGTTTTGTTTATCGTACTAAGTTTGAATGCTGGAAAAAAAATTAAAATTGAGATGATCACTATTATGTTTTTGGGAACTCTTGCAATTTAACTAAGTTATGATTAGATAGTATAAATTTTTTAATTTTTTTGTAAAATATAAATAAAATTATTATTGATGCTCTATTTCCATTTTTTTATTATTTTCAAATTTTGTTTTTTAAATAAGTAGAATTAAAATAAAATAAAAAATTTATCAATTTCAATTATAATAATTTTTTCTTTAGCAACCATCTATATATATATATATATTAACAATGATACACTCAAATACACTGATGGACAAACATAAGACACATATTATGACAAATATACAAGATGCATCTGGATGATATTTTAAAGGGTAATATTTCTCTCAAGTTGCATAAGAGAGAAATATTTGCCTACACTCACATACAATTGTGGAGCCTACTAAGAGAGAAAAAAAAAATAACTCAATTATCAATGTGACTATGTGAGTACGTAGGAAAATATTTCTCTCTTATGCAACTGCATAGAAATATTACCCTATTTTAAATGAACACATTATTTTTTTCAATGGCTTGTTCAGTTCCATAATGGGATCACATCAAATATTTTCTTTTTCTTTTTGTGGATTTTTTTAATTATTGCAAGGGAAAAATTAAAAAAAAAAATGTTTACTATTTGATTATGGTTATACTTACAATTACTTTTTCTTTAAACCATTTTTGTTATGGTTAAATTAAAATTAAATTAACAGTTACAAGTTAAAGTCATTGATTTGATTGATCCAACGGTCGTAAGGAAAAAGTGGAGATAAGTGTAACCTATCCCTTAATATTTTATCACCTACACCCTTGTAATTCTCTTTTTTAATTACTTATCTCCCATTTGTTATTTTATTATTTGCAGGCACAAAATGAAAAGAATAGCTCAATATTTAATGGTGTTAAGGGTGAATTTAGATGAAAAAAATCACAGAAAATATAAGTCATTAACAAATAGAAAAAATATTTGTCCTTATAAATAACAGTCATTTTAGTTAAAATTATCATTTTTTATTTAATATTTAAATCAACAAAAAACCTCACACTTTCTCTCACCGTATGTAACTTTTTCTTTCACTATAAAACGCAATACTTTTGACGAAAATGACACATTCTATATTATTTAAAGGGGCAAACATTAAATATTCCTAAAAAAATACAGGAATTTAAATAATTTTGAAACAAACCTACCGGGGTTTTGATCTTTTCTCTTAATTTTTGTTGTGTATTCACTTATTTATTTAAACCGAGAAATATTTCTGCAGTTACTGCAGATAAGTTATCTGCATTTATTTTTAAAACGACGTCGTTTTGGGATTGAAATATTAAAAAATTATAATTATTAAGACTATAATAACCCAAAAATAAATTAAAATTACAAAAGTACCATAATTTCCATCCCAAAACAACGTCGTATTGGACAAACTGCAGATAACATATTTGCAGTAACTACAGAAAAAGCGAACCCTTATTTAAAACACATTCCTTTTCTAAAAAACTATCCTTTTGCACTTGCAACTTATTAATATATTTCAACACATTACACCTATGTTTAAAATATATAAAAAATATCTCATAACATTTTAATTATATCTTAGAAAATGAACAAAAAATAATAGTTGTATCTTATTAGAATATTATTGAGTATCTGAAATGATTTTTTAGGAATATTTTCTTAATATATTAACATTTGATAACTTATTTCATTTTTTTAATTAGAATTTGTTGTTTAATATCAATATAAATAGATATTCATTTAGTTCATGTATATATATATATATATATATATATATATATATATATATTGATTTAGATCTGTAACAAATGTAAAACATGGTTCCTCAGCATTCCAAATGCGCCGGAAGAACAGTGGCCCGTTCTTATGCCTTCTATTTACCAGAACAAACAAAAAGTTAAGACATATATAAACTTGATTACTCAACCTTATTACGTTGAGAAAAATTTAGTGACGTTGTTGATGTTGGATGACAATAGACAATTGACTATCATTTCTTCAATATAACTTACTATTACTACTCTGTCATAAAAAGACCATCATTTATGGAATGTTGTTCGGTTTCTTCCGGTACACGTGAACACTCCTTGGTATACCAATTTCTTTCAACCTATCCTTAGCTATGGTTTATATTTCGCATGTTAATTAAAGTCATTGTTAACCGAGTCAGCAAAAAAGCAACTGAAGGTCTTATTATAAATCAAGTGACTTATAAGAGTGACAATGAGCTGAATATAATATAGACAAGAGCCTACACCGGATGATTAGGATAAAACACTGTGTCAATTCTCCTTCCTTCTCTTTTGGTTTGCGATTTGTTTATGAGTGATTCAACAATATTTGGCATGAAAAACAGCAAAAGTAAATGAAGACGAGTAGTCCAAAAAAGAAAGACCAGCAACAATGCAACTAAAGTTGGCAATGCTTTTATTATTTACACACCATGAAATTGACTAAATCCTTAATATGCGATTAACACTGTAGGCTTTGCAGATATATACCGTACCGTTGGGGATGCCAAATATACCAACTGCATGGAGAATGGCTTTTAAAGTCTCCGATGACTCTCTTCATATGCTGCATGCTCTCTGGCTAAAACACTTTAACCTAATTGATCCGCAACATAAATATGTCTTGAATAGAAGAGAAAGCCAATAACCAAGCAGAAAATACATGTCAAAAATAAATAGTAATCAATTCATAGCATTACACTTATGGAAGTGTCAACAGTGAATTATTAAACACTTGGTACAAACCAACTAAGATTAGGGGGAAAAGGACTTGATTTAACCAGAGAAAAATATTTATATTTGATGCTGTTATCAGTCAAGCTAATCATCCCCAATCGAAAGACTACCCTTGGGTTTGCAGGACAATGAAATTCAACAATAAAATAGATACTATTTCCCGCAATTAACTCTTCAGTGCTGTTAAGTGCGGCCCTTGACATTACCAAGCACTTGTTACCGCCAAGAAACATCACACGATCACCCAAGTTATCAACCTTGATCCACTGATTTGTTTCATTACTTGTGTTCAACTTGAATACATCAACTCTGGTAATCGTAGGTGGGGTAACATATTGCATGACGAGGTTCATATAGCCAACATTATGTGTTTCATAAGCTGAGTTACAGAACATGTAAATGAGGAATAACTCTCCGATTGCATCATCTTTGGCTAAGAAGATGAGTAAATTACCCCTGTCAAATCGTATGTTACCAAATAATCTTGATACTGGTGGTGGCACTTGTGGGACTGGGATCATAGCTAATACTTTGGGCTTTGGAGGTTCATCACTGAAATCTTGCAGATCAAAAACCAGAATGGTATTCAAGGATCTGTCAGTTCTAGCATACAATTTAGTATCAATAATTTCCACATCAATAAAATGAACCCCTGAATCCTTATCTGCTTCAATTGTAGACCATGACTCGACAGAAATTCTACAAAATGCAATGTGACAATAATCATCAAAGAGACCAACCAAAAAACAACCAGAACAATCGGGTCTGGAGGAGGCCACCATTTTTCCCAATAACAAATTATCTTGACGGGGAGAGTTGGATGGAAAGTTCAACATTGATGGGACAAAGACTCTAGCATTTGTCACTGGATTGAAGAAAAAGATATTTAGACTAGCCACGTTAACATATTCACTCACAATCATCCATCCTTCAACTGAGCCATGAAAGGTCTGCATATTCTTAAATAGTGGTGTTTTGGGACAAAGTAGACGTTCTGTCCTCAAGTTGAAAAATGTGTATGATTCATGAGAGTTGAGGACAACCAGTGGCAGTTCAGGTAAAGGGTGGCAATGTTTGTTTAAAATGGCATTAGCAACTGTAGCCCTCCAAGGGGAGCATATTGCACGCAATCCAAGGTAATCTTTGAGGCTCAAACGCTTCATAATCAGTTCCAGGACATCATCTGGAAGATTTGCCCATCTGCTGTTACGTTTCTTCTCTTCTTTTACACTCAGATTGTTTTCTTTGCTGTTGCTCTCTCTGATTAGTGTGCTTTCAGCTTGTTCCATTTGCGTGCTATCAACACAGTGAGTTTGTGCTAAGAGTGATGAACATGCAGAACTTTCTTCGCTATGTGATGTCATCTTTCTAAAGAGAAAAGATATCAGACCAACCAAAAAATCTCTGTTACAACCAACAGAGAAAAACGTAAAACCAAATACTCTTAGGTCCACAATCACTCAAAGTTGAAACTATAGAATTAACAGAAAAATTAAAATCAAAATTGACCCCAGAAAAAGAAAGAAAGAAAAACCTGATATGAGTCTAATGAAATAAATATAAATGACAAGGAAATGCACATCACATACATTGGGCGTGGTGGTGCTGGTGCTGGTGCTTCACGCTGGTGCTGGTGCTGCACGGTGGAGAATGTGGCAAGTCGACAAGATACTTCGAAGCCAAGAACACCCAAGAAAAGGAAAATGAAAAGGGTCTTCAACGGAGTATTCAAGGAAGAAAACCCATTTATCATGACATGAGCAAGATTTCAACTCCGCGGAAGAGAAATCAAACGTGATTCGTATGTGCAAATTGCAAGTGTAATATGAAAACATGAAGGAAGCCGAAAAGCATATACATAATACATATACAAAGAAAGAAAGAGAAAGAATAGAAGGGGTTTAAGGCAAAACGTCGTCGTTTCCAGTTGCAGGAAAATACCTTATTTTGGTGCCGCACGAGGAGTATAAATCCCTAATCTATTATAGTTTAAGGCTTTAATGATTTTAAAGTAAATTTAGATAAGTTATTTATATTTGCTCTCTAAAAGATGTCGTTTTAGATTGAAAAATTAAAAATTATAATGAAAAAGAATACTATAACCCTGAAATAAATTATAATTATAAAAGTATCTTGATTTTCGTCTCAAAACGACATCGTTTTGAGCTCACTGTGGATAAGCTATCTACATTGATTGTAAAAAAGAAGAACCCATAGTTTTATCGTTTAACTATTAAAGAAGGGTTCGTTTTTTCTACAGTTATTGCAAATAAGTTATCTGCAGTAAGCCCAATACGACGTCGTTTTGGGACGGAAATCATGGTATTTTTGTAATTTTAATTTATATCAGGGTTATAATAGTTTTTATATTTATAATTTTTTAAGATTTCAATACCAAAATGACTTCGTTTTAGAAATAAATGCAGATAACTTATCTGCATTAACTGCAGAAATATTTTCCCTATTAAAGAAAATCACAAAAATTGTTGTATTACACTTTGTAGCCTTATTAATATATTTGAATATATTATACCCAATGTTGTTAAAATCAAAATTTTAAATAAAATGGGAGAGGATTAAAAAATCGTAAAAGCCTTTGAAATATTGATAAAATTATTTTGATGACAAAAAATCATAAAAACATAAAATCGTACTGATAAATCAAGATTTTAACAACTATGATTATACCTTAATTTAGATTATTGATTGTAATTGTCTACTAGTTGTTAAATTTAAAAATTATATTTAAGAATAATTAACATAAATAAACATCAATACCTGATAAATCCGAGATGCAAGTATGGGTGACTCTGGTGGTTCCTCTTTGTACGATCGAAGTGGAGGGTGACATGCTTGAAGAGACTCAAGACTCAAGAGTCATGGCATTGTATAAATAATTTTTTTTTTTTTTTTGGATATTATTGTATAAATAAAATTGGATCATAGGAATGAGAATAGCAGGATTTTAATTAAATTCAGTAACGCGGCTAGGGTGTGTCAGTGTACAAAGCTGTTTGAACGTTATGGGAGTTAAGTGAATTGAAATATCTAAGAAGAAAATTTTAACAGTTTACAGCATATGTAGGGCATCTTTGTAGTGTAACACTATGTACAAAAGTAGGGTTGTCAAAGTATATTGATTTATTTCTTAATTTAGATTTCACTTACTAACTACTATTGAATAACATGTTAACGTATCATTTAAATAGTTTAATTATAATTATAATTATAATCTCAAGGGGAAGAAAGTTTGGCTTAAGATAATTTCAACCTTTTACTCTTATCCTTTTTGATTATCAAGGGTTAACAATTTATCAATCAGGAAAAAGAGATCAGGGTGGCTACAGAGTCCAAGGACTTCTTTATTCTCTATCTCACCGACTCTACATAAAGAGTCACAATGCCCTTCTTCAATTGCCTAGTAGTGCACCACTTGTCTTAATTTGATTGGCTTAACTTGTTCAAAGAGACAACACCTGTGAAGAACTTGGAGCACGTGTAATATGTCCCTTGCTTCTCATTAAACAAAGATTAACACTTGAAAGAGAGTTTGTACCCCTTTCTATATATATTAATTATCCTATGTTGATGTTTATTTATTTCGTTAAAGCGTGCAAGAGAAATTCACAAACCACAATCATATACTATGGAAGGCAGTGTAACAGAAGTTCAGAGCTTTCTTCCTTCTATGAATCTCAATTCTGAAGATGGATCTAAAAGAATAGATTGTGAAGAAAAGGAAGAGGGGTTTGTCTCCACAGAGAAAGTTGAAAAGGTGAAAGAAGAGAATCTTGGTGGAGAACACACAGGAAAAGACTCTGCTGCTGAATATGAAGCTAAAGGCAATGGTGGTGGAGGTCTTATTAACAACTTGATTTCCACACTGATCACTCCCTTGAGTCCAAGAACTAGGAAAGATGAAAGTGGAAATGGGGTGTTTAAGTTAGAGGAAGGTGCTGCTGTTGATGGAGGTGATCATGGAGAAAGAGGAGGGGTTGAAAATATTGGAGAGGGAGGACTCATCAGCAATCTGGTTTCTAATTTCTTTCATCAATTTGAAGGTGAAAGTGTGGTGGAAAATGAGAAGGACAATGAAGAAGAGGAAATCATAATTGATGAGAAAATCAAACGAGTGAAGACAGAGAATGGGGCTAATAGTGGCAGTGGAGGCATCATTCATAACATTGTTTCACATTTACCAGCTTCAATCTCAGGTAAACAATCAAAAACTAAATCAGTTAGCATTTTAGTCAATTTTTCAACACAGCAATTTCAACTATAGTGTGTTAGTAATCTCCCACGGCCTTGAATTGAATTATTTTGTTATTTTCTTCCTTACTAATTCAATTAATAGTCAATGTTTTTGAGAGAATATAATGTAGCTTAATCAGAAACTTGGTGATGATTATATTGTATTTTTTTGACATTGCCTTGTTTTGACCAGATGATACGGCTCCCACAGCAGATGAGGCCACTATTTTGATTAACTCTCTTGTTCGTGACTAAGCATAGACAAGACACCAAATTGGGATTCTTTTGCACTGTGTCATGTATTCATTGTTCTGTTCAGTTCTTTTCTTTTCTTTTCTTGTCTTTACTTTTTTTTGAGATTCCTATTGGTTCGTTTTTAATGCTTCTTTAATGTAGAGTATAACTCCGTATAAGTAAGCCTGTCTTGTGCAATGATACTTGAAAATTGCACTGCCTTGTAAAGTTGCATTTTACCTCAAAAGTTTGTAGGTAATCCTTGATCTTTTGGACCCTTCATATTATGTGCGCCATAGTGAACATAAGTTATCTTTTATTATAAATGATCAAAATATAATTTTTGTTTAAAAGAAAATTGACCTATTTTCTTAAGCTGAGGGCGTATCCAACGCTTGAAAAAGCTTTCTTTTCTTTTTATTAGTCTCATTAAAAAAAAAAACTATGTGAAAATTTATATTTTTAATTGGATCACTTTCAAAATGAAACTATAAAAATTAAACTAATTAATATAATGTACGAAAATTACTGACATAAAGTTATTGTTGATGGTGCCAAGTGCCAAAATTTTATCATGCTAGTATATTTATGCAGAACTAATTAATTTTTGTTGAGTTACCAGCTCTTTTCTTATCCAAAGGAAAGAATTTTGAAAACCCACTTAAGCTGTGGTGGGGCGCTAAGGGATAAATTCGCCAACGTATAAAGAGGATTGTTTAAGTAGGAAAAAGAAAGGAAATTTTGCGTTAATATTTTTTCATATAATAAATAATTTTAGTTAATCATTAAAAAAAAAAACTTCGATTACAAATTTTAAAATGCATAAGACCGCTAATTATTAATTGACAAATTAAACTAGCACTTGTTTATCTTTACACTATTAATGAGTTTTAAAGGAGATGGGATGTACAAAAGATAAAAAAGAATACTTGCTTGTTGAACAAAATCTTTTGTTGTACATTTACAATATTTTTCGATTAGTTTACATGTCAACTACTTTTTCTTTTTCTTTTTTGACTAAGTTTTTACTTAAATTAACTCAGTTTGAGATGATAAAAAAAGTTAGGAACATTTTAAGAATGATTTTAAAGAATGAGATTATTTCTCATACTTAAAACATATTTAAATATGCAAGCCGCATCTCCCCGTTCTCCCATATCATGTTGTATTTAGAAAACATTTTTGTTTAAAGGCTTTTTCTCTATAAGTCATTGAGACGAGACAATGAAGTAATTGTTAGTATAAGGTAATTGATTTATTATCCCCTAAAACAATAAAACCGTTACAAATAACTTTTATTTGCATGCATTGTATTAAAGCATATTTTTGTTTTTTTTAATACAAGAACAAATTAATTAATTCTACAAGTGCTAATAATAATTTAATTTATAGTTATATTTAGGGGTGATAAACGAGTCAGGGACCTTTGGCTCGGCTCGTGAAGGCTCAGGCTTACATGCATAATATTGGTTGTTGGAACAAGGCTTGGACTTGTATAAAAGCTCGTTTAGTAAAAAGACCTCAGGCTCCAATTCAAAAGCTCGGTCTTGGAGCCTCTCAGGCTGACCTAGTATATTAATTTTTATTTTTATTTATATTTTTTATACTATTTGTAATAGCCTCTCTTTCATCTCGATCCATTCCACCCCTATTTTATTAGTTAAACAAAATATTTGAATAATTTTGTTCTATATTATGTTGTTTCGATATATATTGAATTTATGAATATTTATGGAATTACTAATGTTGTTGATTGTATATTCTGTTTTGGATAAATTTGTATTGTCTTATTTTTTCTAACATGCTAACAGGCCAAATCAGACTTTTATTTTTTTTGTAAATAAGACAAGTCACAGACCTATAATTATATTCGACACAT